TGGATGGCCTATTCTGTCTCAGTCTGTAAGCTGTTGAAACATGTGCACCATATGCAATCCTGCTGGACTTGAGACTGGTGGCATACCTGAAGGCTCATAGCAACACACTACCACAGTAGGACAAACTGACAGACAAGTTTGTCTCCCTTAGCTGTTCTTATCTTTAGTTTCAGATTAATGAATTAGGTATACATTCTTTTATAAAATTTAATGAGGTGAATGAAAATAAAGGTAAAATATTCTAATATTAGAGTGACTACTTTTTCTCTTGCCAAGAATTGTGAGGATGGTGCAGGATTGGACAACATTTTGTTCTGTTATACAGAAGGTCACTATGAATCAGAATGGAGTCTATGACAGCTACCTATCTACTATTTTTCTTATTGAACAAACAGAATCTATATGTATCCTACTTTTTTCTGATAAATGGATTTTTTTTTTTTAATGATACTCCCTAGAAACCATTTAGTAAAATCTGAAAAGCTTGCAAAGATGTCTTTGTGGATGGAGGCAAAGTACCCAATGTGAGGATGCGCATGGATGCAGCTCTCCTGGTTTGCCACTATCAGGAAGAGGCAGGGAATGGATAAGTGGATTGACTTACCCAGTGATCCAGATAATTTCGGCATCCTGGACTTGAGAACACTCCTAGGAGAGAAAATCTCAGAAAACAAAAGCTGCTTTCCCAGTGATATATGATCTCTCTCCTTTCCCACCCTTTGCACTCTCCACCTCCAACCCCGTAAAACCATCAGTCTTAAGGCCAGTAGTCAACTAAATAAGTATCTACAAAAGACCAAGCCAAACAGGATTTACAAAAGTAACCTGTATTCTAGCCAAAATATCTTTTAAAAGAAATTCCTTCTAAAGGGGGGACAAACTACATAAGACACAATACATTTAAAATATGTATTAGAATTACAAATCAAACTTTTTCATGATTCCAAAATACAAAACACTACATTAAAAGGCATTCAAACAGCTCCTTTATACATCACAGTGTTAGTGGCACAAAATGTACTGACATTTCAAAAACACAAACCAAATTTGTTTTGTTTTTTTACCACCACTTGTCAAATACATAATGTATATATGTGCATGAGTCATTCATGCATATTTTTATACAAGATTAAAATACACCCCAGGTAAAGTGAGCAAAGTACAAAAGAAAGCATCAGGCATGTGGCATGTACCTACTTCTAACTGAAGGCTCCTGGAATCATGGAAGATAGGATTACACAAATCAAAGCATGAGGGAGACCAAGGGGTTTTCAATATCAAAACAGCATGCTCTTCTAGTTGTAATGCATTCACAATTGTATTTTAATGCAGGCCCCTTTGTTCCATTTGGCATTTTTGGCAACATCAGTCATGATCTCTTCATTTTGTTTATTTTCATAAGGGTTTGTGTTAATTATAAAGAATAAACAAGCTTTGGTATTCTTTTAGAGACCTTCATGAAGCTTTATACATGCAAAATGTTTTCCCTTGTTGATTTTCTGTGATTTTTTAATATATATATATACATAGATATATTTATTAATAAATGAGAATCTGGGAAATATACAAAAAGCCCACCCTGGTTCTTTCCAGTATCCTAACTTTAAAGATTATCAAGGGAAATTTTTTTTCCTTCTCATTTGTTAAATAACATTTTTTTTTTTTTTTGGTAATATACATGAGAAAAGATTAGCTCCTCTTGAAGCCATTTTTAGATATCTGATCATCTCTTCCCTCAGGAGCCCTGTGTTTTAATAAGGTATTGGCCTTGGTCATAGATCAGTTTTATGAAATAATAGGCTATAAAGAGAATTTGTTTCACTTTTTAAAGACACCAGAAGTGGCAGATGTTGGTTCCTCAGTCTGCAGCTACCCGTGGGAGTTGAGGAAGCAAAAAAAAAAAAAAAAAAAAATGGTTTGGAAAGCAATTCATATAATCAAAAGTTTTATTTATGCTCAGATCTTAAGTCAATCTCTGGTGTGTAAAATTCTACATTGACTCCTTCTCTGAAGGCCATGGCCTCATGTAAGGATTGCAAAGCTTGGCTGGCTGGGCTACACAGATTGCATGGCATAGCTAAATCAAGAGACCCATCAAGACCAGTAAAACCTCATGATTGGCCTGTTACCAAAGGAATGTGGATAACTTACAGGTCAGTTGTGCCCTCTATGGCTCAATCCTGCAGTATAGTAAGCTATGGCCAATGGTGAAGTGTCTTCTCCCTCTACTCTCCAGGATTTAAAGGCCATCATAAACATACTTGAGCTTGCAAAGTATTAATATGAAAGTCATTTTTCAATTAAGACAAACTATTTTGAATTGCAGGAACAAGTCCATCTAATTAATGTAGAATTCTCCATGTTTTACCTGGAAGTGACAGCAAGGTCAACATCCAAATCTAGAACCATCTTCCCATGTTCTATTTATATCACATATGGTTAATATTACATCACCATGAAAAATGGGGGTGGCATTCCTTCCTAAAAGAAAAGGTGTCTGATGGGAGTAAATGCAGGTATGTGAGTATGTCAATGTGATGTTGCTGGTAACTATTATAGTTTTCTTATTACTGAGTCAAACTGAGCAAACTGGGGCATGCTCAATGCAAAATCTCTGAGCAAGTAGATGCTATTTTGCTATTTTGATTGCCAAGAAGGACTCTTTGCCCTTAGCCTAGTAATCTTTGTGGTCCCTACCCAGGTCAAACCAAGTGCTTGTGAAACACACTGGGGGTGAAGGCACAATGATGATTGAGCCAGAGACTCTTCTAATCTAGAAAGCCCACCCATCTCTGTGAGAATAAAGGAAGTTAAGCTCTAGCCCAGAGAATGCAACCTTCCAAAGGGCTCTGATTCCCATCCCAAAGGAGAGGTGTTCTATGGATTGTGCAATGGGCAGCAGCTATTATAGGCAGTATGGACTAGGATGTGGTGAAAGCCTGTCTTGTGCACCATTGAAAACAGGGTCACAGGCTGCCATCTTTGATAGGCATTTTAAAGAGTACTGGCTAGACAGGTGAATTCATAAATCACAGGCTGAGGTCTCTAGCCCAGGTTTCACTGGACCACTTACTTCATCTTCTTGGCATCCTCTCTAGAAAAGTCTTTATACCACTAGACCTTAACATAACATCTCTAACTACAGAGTTTCACTGCCCAGGCTTCATCCAGAAAGATAGTCTCAGGTGTGTTCTTTTTTAGTTAATGGATTTTTAAATGGCAACTACAAGGAGCATTTTTTGAAAGGAACATCGATTTGACAAACCAGTTTTCTAAATAGCTTCAATTTCATAAAGGAAATTAATACTACAGGTGTAGAGTGAGGTGTTCTTGTTTCTTGTAACCTATTAAATCTTTAAGAAACAAAAAAAGAAGACATTTCTATATGGGGATGGTAAACTAGGATGTGAGACAGCAACACAAATGCAGAAATCAAATAAAAACAACCAATTTTCTTTTAAAAACATTGTGTTTGCAATGAGCAAATAGCTATGGTAAAAGTCAGGTCTGTAGAACTCTTAATAAGTTAAAAATATCACCACTATAATGAATCTAAAACATTTGCCTTTCTGTTATTTTTAGTAGTCCCATTCTCAAATCTTTAAAAGCACATGTGGTTTATAGCCATTCTGAAGTCAATTCTCTTTAAAGAATATACTTTCTCCATGTTTCCAAGTCAACTGATGGAGTAATTTGTGTTTTCTTATTGATTAGTGCAATTTGATGCCATGGTAACAGTCACACACAGCCCTGTAAAAAACCAAGTGGTAAAATCCCCAAATGAAAATAACTAAATGAAACAGAAAGCTTTTTCAGCAGGGGGGAAATTGGTAGCAACAGGACTTGGAACTATGCAAGACATGTGATTTCTGCAAAATAATTAAATCATTTAAAGAAATTTAAGTGAAAATCTAGAAGGCCACCAAGAGTACTTGGTCTCGACCCTCTGAAGATTAAGGATACTATGCTCTTCTGACTCTGCTGGAAGAGATAGAGGCAAGGGGCCAAACCATAATGACTGGGATAGAACTGTTTTGAAGTAAAACATATGATTTTAAAATATTAATTAAAAGAAAGAAAGAAAAAAAAAAAGTTGCTGGTACCTGGGTGAGAAGTTATGAGCCCTATAAACTTAGTTCAATCCCTAAAGAGAGAAAAATCAAAAGGTAAATGTAGACTAATGATAGAGATATTTCATTAAACACATCAGTATTTTCAAAGATATGCAACTATATAGGAATCATGTTTACAACAATACACAACTTACAGCTTTCAAAAAGTCATTACAACAAGTTTCAAGGAAAGGAAAAAAAAAATAAAAGCATAAGGCTTTCTAGATCTGAAAAGTGTCCAAGCCAGAAAAGTCATTTAGCTATAACTTTTTAAAAACAAATTTCAAGAAAGGCATAGGATGGTTTATATGCACCTTGTTGATTTTCACTACTTTGTTGAAAAAAGAAAAAAAAAGCCTTCTAGAAAGATTTTACTAAATGCCATTAGTAATAAAAATAGTTGTCAGAAACAGAGTGCTTTTCTCAAGTCAATAAATCAGATTCTGTGTGAAGTGAGTTGCAAACCTTAAAAGACTTCTCTCAACAACATCACATCATCTTGAAGCCAGTAAGAAGACGGGACAATGTTTTGTATGAGAAGGTCTCTTAAGCTACTACTAGACATTTCTAGTCTAATACCACAGGGAGAAAACTGTCCAGTGTTTTTCTTACAGCACCTCCCTTGTCAGGCTGGCAGAGACTGATTTTGTGGGGATGTGCTCTACCCACGCCTGCCTTGCCCTCCACATGCCTAGTGGACTGCAACTGGGGCCTTGGTAAACGTTCTGATGTCAGTCCCTGAAATCACGGCATCCAGCGTGACACTGTGAAGCTCAATGGGGCACATAAGGCAAGAAAGATGTTTAGTGAGAGGGGAACAGCGGGGTGGGGTGGGGCAGAGCCGCGCTTCCTGGAGGCAGGGATCTTGTTCCAGCATCTTGCCTTGCTCTAGGTGGGTAACGGGTCGTCATCCCCTTTACTGCACTTGCACTTGCAGCAAAGTACAAATGGAGTTGCCAGGAGCAGGAAAGGTGAAGCAACTAAGAGCAGAAGCCCAAACCCAGCAAAAATGCCTACGACCTGGAACAAGAAAACAAAGAAGCAGTATATAACTTATACTTGTCTGTAAGTTCTGCAACTGAAATGCAAACTTAACCATCTATCTATCCATCCAACCATCATCCATCCATCCACCGTTCTGCCCATATTGTCTTCCCTTCCCTCCTTTACTTGCTTTCTATCTATGCACCCAAATATATATCCCTTCATATATCCAATGAACCAACAAGCTTCCCCTGAGCAATCACCCTAAGTCAGACCGTGTATTAGGTGTTGCCAATACAGAGGCTTATAAGATCTTGGCCCTTCAAGGAGCATCTCGTTTGGTGGAAAGAGATTGAGATTTAATCAATTTATTGCATTTTATAGAAATTACCCTCATGGACTCAGGTGCCAGGTGTAAAGGAAGCCCGAAGGACAGAACACCTGAAGTTGCTAGGAGAAAGGAGAGTGTACAGTGGATGATGGCTGAGATTATAAAGATGGGTAGGCAGATGTTATACAAGGAAGAGTGGCATTAGGCATCCCTGACAAGGGGAAAGGAAAATGACAGAACAATGTACTAAGGAATGACCAAATTCATATCACTACTGGAGCATTCAAAAAGCATAACATTAAACTCTTAGGTGTTTTGCTTTCTGTTTTAAAACAAATTTTCCCTCTAGGTGTAGTAAATATCAACAGGAATAAGCCTGAACTGTATTGACATGTTGTCTAAATCAGGTAGTGTTCAAAGGAGCATGGAGTTTGTGCTTTTTATTAGTCACATCCTAGCTGCATCTCTCACAAGCAAGAGTGCAGAACTGAGATCTGAAGATAGAGTTATACCACCACCTGGTGTTCAAAGCGGTAAGTGCATGAAACTGCAAATCTTAGTCACATAACAAGAAGTCTTAGTGAACTCACTCCTCTCTGGGCCTCAGTTTTCTCAATTACAAAATAAATAAATCAGCTAAAAGGTCTCTAAATGGTCATTATCAATCCTAAAGTATGATATTAGGTTAAAACATTCCAAATATGGGAAATAAAGGAGAGTTAAATTTCAACCTGAAAACCAAAACACAAACACATACACACATGGTCACACATGCTTACATGTATATCATGTTGCTCTTATAATGTATAATATATATCAAGTTGTGCTAATGCAGAGAATTCATCTTTTCTTCCCAACTGGCTAAGTCTATTTGTCTGAATAGAATGTCAGTGGTGGAATAAGTTGCAACACTAGGATACTTTGAATTCTAATCATGCTTTTATTATTATTATTAAATTCTTATATGCACTGAATATGTAAAAGAAACACAGTAAGATATTACTATATAGAGGGTGCTCTCTGGCAACCCCAACTACCTGGAGCGAAACTGTCATTCCAGGAGGAGTCAGTGTATTCTTTGCAGTCAAAAATGTGACAAGAGTGTTCAAGGGCTCATGTTCTTGGCCCTTCCCTTTTCACTAAGTGTCCTTTGTGTTCTATTCAATAAGTAAGGTTACCCACACTGTTGTCAATTGGTGATAGAAGGACGCAGATATTGCTAGAAGAAAGTTGGCCAAAAATAATGAGGCAAGAAGCAAATTTTAGTAAAAGAAAGTAATCACTTAATGAACATGTTATAAATATGCACTACTCTAGGTACTGTGAAAGCGATAGAGAGATGGCTAAAATAACCTCTACCTTATTAGAGAACCACTGTATAACATTGCCTTGTTCATATCAGCAATCCTGAGATGAAAGGAGTAAGATTAACCTCCCGGTCTGGGTTATTTAAACTGTAAGCTACTTGAAAGCAAGACACTTTTTTTTAAAAAAATTTATTGTGATTTGGGTGAAAGTTTATAGAGCAAATTCATTTTCCATACAGCAGTTCACATACACTTTATTTCATGGCATTGACTACAATTTCCAACAATGCAACAACTCCCTCCCACTTCTTCCCCATGGTTACCTCTTCCCTGTGTCCTTCCCTCCCATGCACTCCTGCCCCTGAGCTGTCTCCCTGTGCATACACAGTCTTTCTATTCTCCCATGATTGATCTCTCCAATGAGTGCATCTACTTTAATGTAAATGTTCAGCTCATATGCCTGTCTTTTGTTTGGCTGGAAGCCACAGGAGTGGGTTCAATTCCAGACCTGAAGGGTAGCTAGAAACCGTAGTCGTAAGGGTTCTACCAGCAAGACACATTTTTTTACGGACTATTAAAAAGCCCCAATGCACAGCTTAGTTCCTCTTTTATAATAAGTGCCCACCCAATGTTTATGAGATGAGTGAATTGAACAGAAACTAGCATGCCCCAAATTATCTCCTTCAGAGAGAGAACTCATCTACAAACCACATTCAAAAGTTTGAAAACTCTAAGCCAAAATCAAAGATATAATATGAGGGTGGGGAGAAAAGCAATGCACAAGCAAACCATTAACTTTTTGAGACACTTTAAGGAAGAAATCTAACATTCTGTTTATTCATACTATATTTGAAATACCTATTAGATATCCAAATGGAGATGCTAGCAATCAGTTAGACATATACATCTGAAGTTCAATGGAGCCATTGGGCTGGAAACAGTAGTGAAATGACCATAAGAATGCTGTCTTAAAATCCCTGTGTGCACTATTAATGCAGAAAGAGTGGCTAACAGAATGCCTGTTGCTATTGTCAGGTGCTGTCGATTTGCTTCCTACTCACAGTGACTGCAATAGAATGAAACATTGCCCGATCTTGTGCCATCCTCACAATCACTGCCATGCTTGAGCCCATCATTTCACCCACTGTTTCAATCCATCTTGTTGAGGCTCTTTCTCCTTTTTGCAGACCTTCTACTTTACCAAGCATGATATCCTTCTCCAGGGACTGGTCTCTTCTGACAACATGACCAAAGTATGTGAGACAAAAATAATTTCCACATTCTGTTGGATCACCTCTCTTTGGACTGAGCACAGATATAAATCCCTTTCAGTCAGTTGGCCAGGTAGCTGTCTTCCAAATTTCCTGACATATATGAGTAAGCACCTCCAGTGTACCACCCACTTGTTGAAACATCTCAATGGGTGCTCCGTCAATTCCTGGAGCCTTGTTTTTCACCAATTCCCTCAATGTAGCTTGGACTTCTTCCTTCAATATCATATCATATCTTGATCATATGCTACCTCTTGAAACATTGACTAATTCTTTTTGGTACAATGACTCTATGTTTCCTCCCTCTTCCTTTGATTCTTCCTGTATCCTTCAATATTTTTCCCATAGAATCCCTCAATATTGCAACTCAAGCCTTGATTATTTTTCTTTAGTTCTTCCAGCTTGAGAAATGCCAAGCACATTCTTGCATTTTAGTTTTCTAACTCTAAGTCTTTGCAAATTTCATTATAATACTTTACTTTGTCTTCTGGACCTGCCCTTTGAAATCTGCTGTTCAGCTTTTATTTAATCATTTTTCCATTTACTTTGTTGTTACTGTTGTTGTTGTTGTTATGTGTCGTCGAGTTGGACCCAACTCATAGCAACCCCTCCTTGGGTTTCCAAGGCAGTATCACTACGGAAGTAGATTGCCCCATCTTCCTTCCAAGGAGTGGCTGGT